ATGAACAGTTATTAGTTAATACAAAACGAAATTGCTTTAATCACATGTCCAACTTAGAAACACATGAAGGAGTAGCAATAAAAGTTAATAATATATTATTTTTCTGACACTATATATCTATCTATTAGGTTTTTTGAGATATTTAATATTGAACATAGGCCTCCCTTAACTTTTCCATTTTTCTCTATCTAGAGCCATGTACATACAGCTTCAGGTCCTCCTTTGTATGTTGATTTTTGGTCTGACAGTCGTATGTTAATCATTTGTCTTACCATTGTTGTTTGTATATTCGTTAGTCTAGCCATACTAGCTCTTGTGAATGTCCAAGTTTGATATTCTTGTTTAAGTATGCATTGGTTGAATAATTTCTATCGCAACACTAGATCATCAATAGTCTTCAAATATACTTAAAGATATTTTAACGTATTCACTCGCAATTGCTTTTAATGCTTAATAAACGTCTTAATTCGGCCAAAATATTTATTGTTTGAGAGTAAAGGTGTACTTAAATCTTTTAAAGTCTACAACTTGTAAGTCCGTAATATATTGGAATTTCAAACAGTCCCTTAAATAACGAGCGAAGCATTATCAAGGAACTTAAGTAATGGGTGTCAGGCATCACTCACTTGATGGTAACCAGATTACTGTTAGTCTAGTAAAAGAAGGTCGTAATCAAACCGTAGTCAAACTAGAACAATTCTGCCGTATCCAAAAGGAAAAGATGTACGATCAACAAAGGTACTTGTGTACACTACAAAGCCTTTCTTTATCTTCGTGTATACCTACTCTATTCGTTATCTAATACAAAATCATAAATGAAACCATTCTGCAGTACAAAATGCTACAAGATATAGCAACATGACTGACTTGCGAGGATTTTAGGTGGTCTAAGTTTACAGGCAAACATTCAAGATTTGTGACAGAGATATAAACTAAATATATATATTTTTTAATTAATCACAACAAATAAAAATTAAAGATAGAATTTGCTACAACGACATATTTTGCAGATTTAAGATAATTGAGAATATGATATAAGTAATCAGAATAAGACAGACCAGAACAGAGCCTTGGACTCTTTGCGGACGCGAGCGCCAAAAAATTGATGCCTTTGAGATGTGCTGCTCGAGAAGAATGCTGCGCATACCTTGGACAGCTCATAAGTGCAACGTTTTGATAGAGATAGAGATAGAGATAGAGATAGAGATAGCAAGAGATAGAATAAAGAAGGGGAATCGTCAACAAGGATTCAGAAGATATAGCAGAGATTACCAAGGATGAAACAAACATGCTTCCAAAGCAATGAAAAATGAAAATTGAAACTGAAAAACTGAACTGAACTGAAAACTGAAAAAAATGAAAATTTAACTAATCCATATGACAGCATAATTTTAAGCGATTGGAACAATGCTTTAATGATATTAATCTATAAAAAGAGACTGCGAAAATCGAAAAACTATAGTCCCATAAGCATCCTGTATAAACTTTTTAACAAAATAGTCACCAGTAAATAGAAAATAAACCCAACCTCTATTAATTAATAAAACAAGCTATATTTTGCTCAGGAATCGCTACCAATAAACGTCTTATAGCGCTAAAAACCTTAATAGAGATAAGTATAGAATATAACAGTACACTAGTATTAGTTTTATTGATATACAAAATACTATAGATACGATACAATCGAACAGAATAATTAAAACGATAATCAACAGCAAGTGTACAAGTTCATGAAAAAATAACGACTTTCCATTGGAGAGAGGTCTTAGACAAGAAGATACGATGTCACCCAAGCCTTCACAGAAGTTCTGGATTATATTTTCAAAAGACTTAAATGGTACAAGTCCGTGATAAATTGCTCATTGCCGATGATTACACAAATCCGAACTAATGCCTAATGAACTTACACAGACAACTTGAGAACTGGGATTCCAAATAAACATATAACACTATAAAAGAGGTCATACAATGCAGATATCTTAGCCACGGCTTATATAAGGGTTATATTTGGGTAAAATACCTTTAAATTATTGAATTTGTTATATATTACATTGTTGCTGATAATTTCATACGATATTGTTCTGAAGCTATTTTCTTGTGGCATTGTAAATTAATTACTAGTTATAACTGGGAATAAGCCACAATTAAAGATAAAAATACGTTTATTGACGTTTCAATTTCCAATTCGGAAATCATTCTCAAAATACAAACAGAAAATTAAACAAATTTTGTTTTTTGTTACATAGTGAAAAAATTCTTCTAATAATTTAATTTTATCTGACTCATTTATATTGACAATTCAGACATACATACATTATGCATTTTAAAGTAGACGACTTTAAAATGATATTGTCAATATTGTTGAGTTGCGCTCCTGGGACGACTTTACTTACAAGATAGTTCATTCGATTACATGAAATCAACTTTAACTTGAGAATATCCGTCAGAAAAAAATCATAGCATGTAATTCGTCTTTAAAAAGACAAACACATGACATGATGACAGTAAAATTCTCCTGTTAGTGATTCCATAGTAAATTATGAGGGAAAAACCAGGAAAAAAACCCCATAATACTATCCTGACATTGTAAGTATTTGTTCGTGAATTTAGTTGACCTTCAACAAACAACAAAATTCTGATTTTATATGTTACATTATTTAAAAAACATAAATGATGTATCCTCTATATGTTACTGACTTACTAATACTGGTATTTTCTTATTAATAACTTCCTCTTTCAATATTGGTAACCAGATCCTACTACATTCTGCCGAGGAATTTGCGACACAATTGGCCTCGTTTAGCATAATTAGAGCCGCTTCTTTGATTTTTCTTTTTTTTACCATCCGTTTCTTTTAGGACTATATTTGAATTATTCCATTGAACCCTATGTTCATTATCCCATGCGTGTTTACATATTTGAGATCTATCAAATTCTCTATTTTTAATATAAGATTGATGTTCACTTATTCTAACATTTAATGGCCTTGATGATTCACCTAAATAAAACTGATCGCATTCACAAGGTATTTTATAAATGCAATTCTTTGTCCTTATTATATTATATTTATTTAGTATTAGTAAGTCAGTAACATATAGAGGATACTTCATTTATGTTTTTTAAATAACGTAACATATAAAATCAGAATTTTGATGTTTGTTGAAGGTAAACTAAATTCACGAACAAATACTTACTATGTCGGGATAGTATTATGAGGTTTTTTTCCTGGTTTTTCCCTCATAATTTACTATGGAATCACTAACAGGAGAATTTTACTGTCATCATGTCATGTGTTTGTCTTTTTAAAGACGAATTACATGCTATGTTCTGACGGATATTCTCAAGTTAAAGTTGATTTCATGTAATCGAATGAACTATCTTATAAGTAAAGTCGTCCCAGGAGCGCAACTCAACAATATTGACAATATCATTTTAAAGTCGTCTACTTTAAAATGCATAATGTATGTATGTCTGAATTGTCAATATAAATGAGTCAGATAAAATTAAATTATTAGAAGAATTTTTTCACTATGTAACAAAAAACAAAATTTGTTTAATTTTCTATTTGTATTTTGAGAACGATTTCCGAATTGGAAATTGAAACGTCAATAAACGTATTTTTATCTTTAATTGTGGCTTATTCGCAGTTATAAATAGTAATTAATTTCATACGATGTGAAAGTTTTAAACATATTTTCTTCAAGGCAACGTAAAACTCCCGACTGGGGTTGCTGGCCCTGAGACTTCGCCTTTCCAGGGACCTTAGATAGTAACTTTCTTCTTCTTAGGGTGCCTGTGGCGATCATTCTGGCTATGATGACTTTGTTTGTTACTATATGGAATAGCTGTGTTGAGGTCTTTGTATACCATGCTCTCAGGTTAGCAAGTCAGGATATTTTTCTCATCCTGAGGTCATTTTTCCTTCAATTTTAAGCTAAAAGACATCAAAGCCAAAGTGGAGATTTGCAGGACATGTAACGGGGCCCAGGGATATCTAGATGAACTAAAGGTTTTTGAAATGAAAACGCCGTGAAGATAGAGAAACCACCGGCACGATGGCCAAACGAAATACGGAAGATAGAGCATAACTGGATATTATTTGTGCAAAATAGACTATTTTAGAGAAGGCTTATTTATAGCAGCGGACGCGAGGAGATAGATAATAATGAATATACTAGGGGATACATCAATGATGTAATTAAAATCAATAAGTACAGAACAAGGAACAATTAAAGAATTATAACAATAATTTTTCCGACAATACGACAATCTGTTACGTTAAATGCGTTAAGTGAATGAAGTAGAGGATGTGTTAGTAGAGTATCTATTAATTTTAAATTAACAACTATTTGTAAGAGCGATAACAAAGTATTTTCTATATTAAAATCTTGTTAGGTTTAATAATAAAATATCATCATACATTAAAATTATTTTAGAGTATAAATTATTCACATTTTACTCAATATTTTTGGTAGCATTTTGCTGAACCTAAACTTAGGAGAGAGAAACAAATAAACCTTTACTTTATTTTATCCAGAGGGGTAAAAACACCACTCTCAGAATTTTAAACTAAACACATGCCTATTTGCCTAAAAGATAGAGGCCGAAGTAAGTCACCCGTCAATTTGGAAAATATAACCGTCTAAAAACTTTCTGGTTATAATAACACCCCACTATTTTTTAAAATAATTTTTTTAAAAAACGATTTTCATGGCGTAAATCTAACCGTCAAACGCTATTAACAAGGTAATTTTTATTACAATCAATTGTGGCTTAACCCCATATAAACATAGTACATACCGTTTACTACCAGTAATATAGTTTATTAGAAAAATGTTTCAAAATAAGAACTTTTAGTATTACGACTACAGTGGAATCCTCGTTATTTAAACAAAAAGCTCTAAAATTAGTGGATATAAATTATCCGTGGCATTGCTAATATTAATGTTTTTAATTAAGTTATAAAGTTTGACTCTGTAAAAGTAAGAAAAACAAGTTACCTGTTCCAGTTGAAGGAGGTACTGAAGAAGGTGCATTACTTCCATACGAGGGATGGTGCGTTGTAGGTTGCGTGTGTGCTACAGCCGGGTTACAACTCCTCGGGTTGTACGAAGAACTCAACGAATGCAAGGGATCGTGGAACATATAGGGGTATCCTGTCGCCTCTCTTTGCTGAAGACAGCTAGATGACAGGCCACTCTGCATTGAACTGTAACAACAAAAATAGTATTTTTTATTTGGGTTATTTGGTAAAATAGAATTGTATCATAAATCAACACGTAGTTTAAAAAAATGACAATAATACTCAAAAACTAATTTTACTAGAAATAAACGGTTCATCTTTTTTACGATACTTTTTTTAGTTTAAGCCTGTTCCAGTCTCAGTGTCGTTGTTTTTTATATACTTAAATTATTGTCGACTATTACACTTTCCCTACTACCACTTGTAGACAGTTTCAAAACATGAAAAAATACTAGAATTATAACGACTACCTCAAAACAACGAAAAATATGATTTATTTTTACAAGATGGTGCACCTCCGTATTATAGCATAAACGTAAGGCTATACCTTAACCATCGGTTTTCTAGGCAATGTCTTCGACAAAAGGTTTTATTGAATAGCCAGCAATATCCACCGATTTAACTCCCTTAGACTTCTTCCCAGGGGGTTATTTAAAAAGCAAAATTTATAATACCATTCTTGGTTTATTGGAAGAACTAAAGTAACGAATAATGCATGAATGCAGTCTAGTAACGCCTGAAATGCTTAAACATGTAAGTTTAAATTTCGAAGAACAAGTTTATAATTGTATGGACACTGGTGGATAACATTTTTAACATTTAATTAAAATAATTTTAGCTGAGGTCTAATAAATTAAAATTTATTTACATTAATTTAGTTCATTTTATTTACAGTACTTTAAAAAAAAATTTCCAATTACGTTTACAAATTTCGTTTTAATGTAGATTTGACGTGATTGGGAAAAATTTAAATTGACACTGGCAAACTTATGATTACTTTAGTGGTTATCAATAAATAAAATAAAAGGAAAATTATTACAAACTGTCTAAGTGGAAACTAGTAAAGCGGAGGTTACTTATGCAACAAAATCGACGAACACCAATACATTTTGTGGTCCAAACCAAACACCAAATACGTTATTAAAACATTCTGTAACAAAATTTTTGAATATTTTGTGAAAATATACATAATAAGATCGTCTCTTGATAAGTGTTGTAAATGAAAAAATCTTTATAATAATTATTTGACATATATGATATTTTACACTCCTAAATAAAACTATTGACTGAATGGTACGTATTAAAATGTTCTATACTATGTAGTTGAATCGGGCACGCTAAATTGAGAAGCAATAAGAAGACGGGTTCTGTAGATCTCAATGATAGATCCCTTTATTAACGCTGTAGCGTTAAGAAAAATCAATCCAAAAAAGAAGTTAAAATTACAGGAAAAGAAAGAAAACTGTAGTATCTCGGACATATAATGTTTGAAGAAAAATACATCATCTTGAGCCTCATAGAATCAAAATCAAAATCGGAAAAAGATGAAGAGTGGGTAGAAAAGGTATATCTTGGCAGAAAACACTCAAAGAATGGCGTGATTCCGGCTCAAAACAACTCATTAGATCAGTTGCCCGTAAAATTAGAGGGGCCAGGATTACGATAATCTGTGTAATGGAGATGCTTGAAGAAGATCAATAAAAAATATGCACATTGTAACATTTTATTCACAGAACTTAATATTTAAATTTTGATCTAAGACAACACCTAGATTTTAGAAGGTTGATTGTTAATAAAAACATTATGTCACATATGTATTTGTAAATTTATAGTATTTTTAAATGTTTAAGAGTGTACATAGATTTTATCAAATGAATACCTAGGTATAGAGATGCCAAGTTTTGATAATTTAGAAATTACAGATTTAACGTGGAAAAAATTAGAAGTTATTATTATCTATACTGACTCTCGGTTAAGTCTTTTCAGATACTTGCAAAATAGTGCTAGAGCTTTTGCGAAAAATCTATTGTAACTTATTTACTAGTAAGTTAATTGTGTCAAATGTTTGGTTTAAATCCATAAAAAATATAAATTCTTTTTCGTTTATTCATTATCATCCATTGATTTTCATTCTTATTTACAATAACTTGTAGAGTTAGGGGAAATAAACTCCCCGCTGTTAAATAAAGAACCATTTTTAAATCGGACACACGTAAATATCGCTGGTCGTCCAAATATAAAAAGTATCAACATTCCACCGAAGATTCGTGATAGAATAAAAAATATACGATAATCTGACAGACATCAGACATCATCCCTCAAAAGTTCTAGTGGCATTTATAAATCACCAGTAGCTGCTGTTGAGTTGTTTTTTTCTCCACGAGTTCAGTTTAAGAATACGTATGAATAAAGGGATCCCTACTGTTTTTTCATCGAATTAAGCCCATGGATATTACATGGGAATTGACATAGTTGCCATATTTATGGAACAAACTGTTTCTCACAGAAACAAACAACAGAATTAGTATTAACATGCGTTACTTTAGTATGTAACACACAGTACTGTTAAATATCAAAAAATATAATTTGTCTATATTTTTTTGTCTAGTTTGGTGTCAGAAGTAACTTAACATATATATATACTTGATTGTACAGGGAAAAGCTTATTACATTTTCTAATAATTATTTATTATTATGCAATTAAATTGCTTTTCTGATGCTTTTTAGTCCCCTGGAAATAGAAAATATATGAATAAATACTTTTATTGCATTGAAGCGTAACGGAACTTTCATTCCGTATATCGCATGTCTTTCTCTTTTCACATATCGACCTATTTTTGCAGCCTCTATTTAAAGCACACATTTTTGATTGGTAAACTAGCTAAAATAGCAAAGAGCCGCGAGTTGCGCAGAGGATAGAAAAGTAAGTACAAGTCGGAGATGCATGTTGTGTTCTCCGATCGTCTTGATGTTATCAGCCCATTTCATTTGTGGTCTTCCTCTTCTTCTCTTTCCTAACCATGATCTTCATTGTTGTATGTCGTGGTTGCATCTTTTATCCTTTAGTCGGGCATTCTGACCTGCGAAACTCCATTTTAATTTGGCAACATGTTCCCCTGCGTCTTTTACTTTGGTTTTGCTTCTAAATTTGTTTTTTTGTCTATAAGTCTCTCCCCGAGCACTCATCTTTCCATCGCACTTTTGCTTTTACTATTTTATCCATATTAGACTTGGTGAGTGTCCACCTATGTAAACCATACGTGAGTATATTGAGGATACACTGATTTGGTAAATTCTGGTTTTCAAATATTGTTCTATTTTAGTGCTTTTCAAGATCCAACTCAGTTTTCCAAATCCTGCCCATACTGTTTTCTTCTGGTAATTACGGCAGTTTGATCTTCTTTGTTAACTTTCATTATCTGTCCCATTTAGATGTATTCGCTTACTGGTTCTAAATTTATGTCGTTCAACGTTATTTCATATGTATTCAACGTTAAGTTCATCTTAAGACCTACTTTTTTATATATAAAGCTACATATTTATAAATCAAGTTCTTCATCCGTTGCGTCATTGTAAGATTTATCATCGGTCATCGGAATTTCATCAAGACTTATTATTATATTCAGATTTATTAATATCTGATCAACGACTTGATCAACCAAGGGTTTGTTAACTGATAAATTTGTTTTCGATTTGGATTACTTTACATTACATCGTTTAATGTAAACGTTACATTTCTTGATTTCATATATTTTTTAATGCAACCCAAACCAATTTGGTTGGATTGAGATCAGGATGATAAGGGGGCAGTCTTAATACTTCATGGTCATATTGACTTGCGGTATGATTAATCACGTTTTTAAAAACCTGAGCTTATTGATTTTGATCAAATCGTAAAGATCAGGTCGAAGCATGTTATCAAGAATACACTATTTGCACCCCTGCAATGTATTCTTTTGTACTACTTCGAATAGGAGCTTTGTTTTCATGTTTATTGTTTGTTCGAAATAGTGCATTCTGAACAACAAGAACATTATAATGTGGTAAATTTACAAGTAATTTTTCTACCAACTATCTTTTATAGTTTTCAGAAATCATTTCGTTGTGACAGAGTCCACTCTTTGTTTGTGATTTTCACTGTAATTTTTTAGGTTGAAATCTTTCACAAAACAATTTTCATTGACAGAGCCAACAATTATAAATATTGGCCGTTAGAAACAGGTTTTTGAAGACCTTTTGCGCTTGCATAACTCCAGTTAGGTATATTCTTTTGTGTAACTAGAATGTAAATAGGTTTCATCGGTGAAGATGATTGTCCTGTTTTCGGCACGGTATCCTTTAATTCTGCGTAAACAATTTAGTCGCAATTTGTGTATATCGTGCTTTTGTATTAAGATGCTACGATTCGTTTTTTCCAACGAAAATCTAAATTACAAATTTATTTTCTTAACGTTTCAATGCTTTGCAAATGGCCACAATATTCAGTAAATTTTTTATGTTAGCGACCATTTAAAAAGGCAGTCTATCTTTTCCCAATCTTAAAGTTTGTTCAGTTAAATCATCCCCACGTGTAGTAAAAAGCTAAAAAATGTACTTCTTAACATTGGTATCTTGCTAGTGTATAATTAGGAAATTCTTTTTTGTTTCCTCTCACGGAAAAATTTGCAGAGCATATCTATTGCTTTTAGTATCAATAAATTTAACTTGCATTAACCAGTAAATTTAAATAATTTAATGGGGTGTGACCTGAAATAAGAAATTATTCAATTTCTCAATTATCAATAAATTTAGCTCACGACTTGCAATAAATGAAAATATTTAGAAACTAGCATTATTTATCCAATAAATGCCCTTGAATCCCCTTGTATTCTCAATATTTCTATATGGGGCAGCCACTTGGACTCTTCGCGGACGCCAGCGTCAAAAAATTGATGCCTTTGAGATGTGGTGTTGGAGAATATTGCTGTGCATATCTTAGAAAAATCATAGGACAAACGTTTCTATTATAAACCAACTCGAGAATAAAAAAGGCTGTCCACAATATGTCTGCAACGTATTCTGCAATTTTTTGGTCACGTGGTTCACAGAGATGACGATAGTTTGAAATGATTACTTGTTTCTGAAAAAGTTTCGGGAGAAGATGAAGAGGACGATCACCAACTAGATAATCCGAGCACATTAAGAAT